CTGGTTTGACAGAGACAGCAGTTACCTGTGCAGCAGGATACTGCGAGTAATCATACTGCGGATAGTTGTAGCCGTACATTCCTCCGGTCTGGTCATAGCCCCAGGAAGAATAATAGCCAGGGTAGGTCTGCTGCTGGTACTGGGTGTACTGGTCATAGTTCTGTCTGTATCCAGAGGGGGACTGCCACGATTTGTGCTCCGACTGCTGCTGCTTGTTCTTTAAGCTTAGAGAGGAGAGCACAGAAACACTGGTGAACTGAGCCGGTCCTTGGCTGTGCTACGGCACAAATACAGCCGTGTCCTGACAAAGGGAGGTGAGTGAGAGGAACTCACTTGTTAGCAGCCAGGCTCAATCGCAGAGGCTTGCCCCCCAGCCCCACAGCACCCTGACACTCCTCCAACGCCCGCTTCTGCAGCCGCTCATCGGGGAACTGAACGAAGCCACAGCCCCTGCAGAGAAACACGGCGATGTTAAACTCACGAGGGAGCAACTCGTCTCAGAAGACCTTTCTTACGTTTACACCACACTTTAAAACAGAGGGTAAGAAAACGCTGTAGATTCAGTTTAGTTTGGATTCTCCGGGATCATGTTTGAGTCTGCCACAGATAAAGACCAACACTTATACATTCGTGGTGCTGTTGATTTTGGCTGCCCGTTCACAGGCAGTGTGGAAAAAGTCTTTTTACACACAGCTACACAAAATACTGCAGAAAAATCAGGGTTAGACTGAAGTTAGCACGTAGCAGATCATAATCGCAGCGTCTGCAACATGGGGTCACTGTCAAATCCATCGCTTCAAAGCTCATCAACAGTCAATAATTGTCCCTTTACGATAATTAATATGTGTGCAGGTCCCGTCAGTGAATCACTGCCTGATTGTGGTGAAGGGGTCTGATTGTTTGCTGGCTTTTTGCCCCCTGGAAGGGTTTCCTGTGGCAGACTGGTCCTGAATGAAGGACCAGAGCGATTCAGAAGACCCCCATGACTACAACAGTTCCCCCTGCCCGGGATACCGGGGGCCATGAGAGGCAGTGGGCTGCAGTGGGCATCCTGGTATCCACTTGCCTTGGGGTTTTCCTCAGTGGACGCGAGGGTTTGCTCCCTGAACGGGTCCTGACTGTCACCTGCACGCGCCAAAGTTCAGAGTATCCAGCTTTCTTGGGAGTCCCTGTGTGGGGACTCATCCTACTGGGGGACTTCAACGCTCATGTGGGCACCGACAGTGAGACCTGGAGGCGCGATTGGGGCACAATCTGATATCCTTGTGTTGGTGTTGTTCCCAGATCATCATACTAAAGGTTGTTCCAGGATCAACATTGCAAGTGACCAATCAGAATGTTGTGATGTCATACTTTTGCGACTTCGGGAAAAACCGGCGTAAAACAAAAAAACTGTACTTAAGCTGCGAGAAACCGCCTTTGTCCGCCGATCAACGGACCCCAACCCTTTAATAAACGCTAAGCAGAATTGATATTGTCCTTGCAACATTGGAATTTCATAAATGCACGAATGGGTTGGTGCGCAAAAGAATAACGTCACAATAATGTGATTGGTCACTTGCAATGTTGAACCTGGATCAACATTTTCATGATGATCTGGGAACAACACCAACACGACGATATCAGATCATCCCGTGATTGGGAGGGATGGCCTTGCTGCCCTGAACTCGAGCAGTGTTGTCACCGGAGTTTTGTTTGTCCGTAACAAACGCCATGTTTGAACATAAGGGTGTCCGTAAGTGATCGCAGTACCAGGATGCCCGAGGCCGCAGGCTGATGATTGGTTGTGTAATCGTATCATCAGATTGACGGCCGTATGTTAATCACCACCAGGTGGCGGGGAGGACAGACCTGCCACACCAACACGTGTAGCGAGGGTGAAAAGATGGATGATTCGAGTCCAGCAATGCCAAATGTGTTCTGACATGTTAGTACTTACTTGGAGTTGCCCATGCTGTCCAGCACCACTTTCCCACCACGACAGGAAGGGTAACGATTGTAAAAGAACTCATAAAGCATCCCATCATCCACATCTGGAGTGAGATCTCCGACAAACAGAGAGTACATCTGCCTACAACAAGAGACAAAGTCAGAGCAGCGCTCCGTGATGGTCCTGTCAGTAAGACACTTCCTGCTCGTCCACCTGGACTCACCCGCTCTCCTGCTTCCCAAAGGTCGCTCGGTTTAACTTGAATCTTGTGGGCTGTGAGAAAATAAAGTCCAATCAATCAATAAATGAATAAAACCTCTGAAATGATCAACAAACAAACAGAAGACGAGGCTGCTGTCAGCAGCTGCTGCTCTCCATACCGGGTTGGCTCCCGGTAAAGGCTTCCCATTGATTTTGCGGAGACACCTCTCGGCCGTGGCCTCGTCTGTCATCTCCACAAAACAGTAGCCCAGAGCACCCCTGGGGGACGACACACTATTTAACGTCATTATAGAATAACTGCAATAAGAAGACCGCATGTGAATTCAGCTCTTACCCCGTCATCTTGTTGCGGATGATCCTGACATTAACCACCTGCTCGCCCATGGTGGAGAAAGCTCTGGTGATGAACTTCTCGTCCATGTAGGTCTCCAGCTGCAGCAAAAACAGTTGTGTGATCATAGTGGTTACTATCAGGAACGAGTCGGGTTTCAGCTAAATGTTTCTAAGAGAGGGAAGACAAATCTGCTTTGGTCCACAGAACTGTGCAGTGCAGCCGGACTGGAAGGGTGGAAATAAAACTGAAATTCCCCTTTTTCTAATGAATCTGTCACAAATCTGGCTCAAAGTAATGCTGGTCCAGTTACAGTGTGACTTATCACAGCTGTGCCGCTCCTATCAAACTGAGGGTACAGTTTGCACAGCCTCACCTAAACTGGACAACTGGAAATATGCTGCCTGGTCTGACAAGTCTCGATTTCTGCTGCAACATTTGGGGGACAGGGTCCCAATTTGGGATAAATAGCATGAAAGCTGGGATGGATCGCGCCACAAGGTTTGAACGCCACAATCTGCATTTCATGGAAGACTGGGAACTGAAAACTGCCCGTCTCCAGACCAGCTACTTTGCTCAAGACTGCAGGATGTCCTCAAAACCTGGAAGCTCAACCCGACGGGACTGGTTGCTATAACAACTGACAACGGGGCTAATATTGTCGAGGCGGTTCAACTGAACAAGTGGCCGAGGATCCAGTGTTTTGGTCACAGGCTTCATCTGGCCATTGGTGAGTGCAATACTGAATCTGATGATTTGAAAAAGAAAAAATGCTAATAAATTAAAAGTTTAGAGTCACTTGCAGAGCTAAACGTGCCCATGGACCACAAGACAAATATCTTTATAAGTCATAGCCAGCACATCTATCACTTAAAAATTAAAGTTTAGTTGAATAAATAAACTATCCCCATTAAATCCAGTAAACCTGTTGGAGTGTATCTGAGGATCGTGACACTAAATGAGGACGACAGCTGAGACAACACAGGGATAGATTTTTAAATACTTAGTGAAAAGATGCAAAAATATACACGTTTCAATCATGTGCTGGTGGTTTTACCAAGATATGTTAACCACAACCATTACTAGGTTTTACATTATTGTTGAGTCTTATGCATCGCATCTTATATAACTGAGATGGACGTTTCCCTTTGAGCGATTTGCATCTTAACATAACAATTAATGTGATTTTAAAAGTTTGCATCTTGTGTGTCACGGGACATGATGCCCACATTACCCGGTTATTTCTCTGTAAGAAAGTCGTCAGCAGCTTCTACAGCTGCAGGAAGGGAAGAGAGCTGGCTGAAGTGCAAATACAGCCGAGTCTTCCAAGTCACCAGCTCCTCACAGAGGCAACAACTCGCTGGGGATCAAGGCTGTTGTGATAGAGAGGGTTCTGGAGCACTTTCTAAAGTCCTCTCTGCCGACATGAAAACCAGACCTCTAGTCCCTACTTGGCAGGACATAGGAGGCAGTTCAGAAGCTCTCAAACCCTTCAGGACTTCACTGATGCACTTTCAGGAGAGAAGTATGTGACCCTGTCCTACGTCAGACCTGTGCTACACCTGTTTAACACTAGTCTGCTGGCACCTGGAGAGGTGGCCTGTTGGACATGGGAGCCACGGTTCAGGGCAAATACATCCCAAGTGAGAAAATGCACTAAAACATAAAGTCATCTTGGAGGCAGAGTCTCTGCTCAGCTATCAGGGCTCGTGTTCGTCTGAGCTGCTGATCCAGCCGTGCCCGAGTCTGCAGATCGAGAAGAAGCAGCAGTGGGACACAGCTAAAAAACAGATCACTGGCAAGCTTCTCCCAGCACAGCCACCAACACTGGTTTCACAAAGAGGGAGGTGATCGAAAATGTATTCTAGCTACCTGTTGTCAGTTTGTGTAGAGAGTGGTGCTGATCCTCTCAAATGGTGGAAGGAACAGGAAGTTGCCTATCCAGCACTGAGCTGTGTGCCAGCTCCCAGCTGCCCTTCTGAAAGGACTTTAAGTTGCAGTGGGAACATGGTAACCTGCCACGGGGCATCGTTGAAGCCTGATACTGTTGACAGGTTCGTTTTCCTGGCACAGAATCTGTAAGCTGTACAGTAGCTGGCCTTGCCAGTTGTTTGTGTTCTTGCTATGTTTTTATTGGCATTGGAGATTTGCACAAAGACCCACTGACCAAAGAACGAAATCAACAAAATTCTGTTTACATGTTTAGTTTTTTGCACAAAGTACCAGATGATTGTTCAGGAATACACACAAGGAAGCAAAACTTTACTTCAGTGTAAGCCACGTCCAAAGGGCAAGTTGCCTTTGTCATTTTTGCTCTGCATCTTTTTAGTTTACATTTAGTTTACAATTGTGAGCTTTTTGTTACGCATGAAAATAATTTTTTAATTTTATTTATGGAGCATTATTATTTAATAAATGTTGACAATTTATTTTTGACTAATTTTTCATGTACATTACAGTTGTATGTTAATAAAAGTCCCTGTGTGACATCTGGGACAAGTAGCTTTGACTAAGAACTGTTTGTTCTCACTTTATGGGATTAAAAAATATATATCAAGATGTATTTTGTTTATCGTTATCCAGCTAAAAAATTATATGAAGATATGAATTTTGGTCGTCCAGTCCTACTGGTGCTGTGTAAATAAAACCGAATTGAAATTGCTTGCATTAATAACAGACTGTAGTCAGCAGCATCTGTGACAGTGTTAATACAAAATAAAGAAACTTCCTGTTTTGTAGCCACAGCATCATTACCAACCTAGTCCACTTTATAGAGCTGGTATATTTGTTGCTGCCCTCTTGGCAGATCAATCTCGGAAACAAACATTTTTATCGTCATTGAGACTCTTTAGCTGCATTAAGGATATAAAGTAACTTGAGATCATTCATGAGAGATTTGTCTCACCAGCCAGATATTTACAACAAAGACTGGAAATCGCTTTTTAGTGCAACACTGGTATGTAGATGGTGTGATAAGGAAAAGTCACTGTTATGGGTAAAGACCGGTTAAAACAGTGTCCTGGGTTCATGCACAGCTAGGCTGTGGATGTATGCTACATGTATGCTACACGAGAAAGCGTGTTTTGTCTGTCCACGGGTGGTGTTGGCCGCTGACTGCCACATTAAACACAAAGCAACCTTCTCACAGGAACTCCGTACAAACTTTTGTGCGACAGCAACATTACATGCAGTCAGGTTACGTTCATTTGGCGCGTGCGGCTCGTTTGCAGCTAGCTTACACTCACGGTCAGACCAAACAACGCGACAACGAGCTGGAAGTAACTCACGTTTCCCATCCATAGCGTGCTCATGGCGCTGCCGCGGTGAAGCTCCAAC